CACCACCACCACCACCCGCCGCCCACACTCACGGCCTTGTACTGGAAGAGCTGGGCCAACTCCTCTCGCGTCTCCGACTTGTGAGCGTTGCCCTGCCAGTGGTCCGGGATGTAGTGGATGTGAGCCAGGAGGCTCTGCAGCAGCTGCTCCGGGCACCACACCAGGTGCTCGTCCGGGATGAAGGACCTGGCCGGGGGGGGGGGGGAGGAGGAGAGAAGTCTCTTCAACACCCCCCAGAGGAGACCAAACGCTCCCTCCACCGGGGAGGATGCAGCACTGAGAGGTGGGAGGGGGGGGAGATGCCAAGGGTCAGGAATCCAGCTGAAGGAACAAGAGGGGCAGAAGTTCCTTCAAGGCACTCAGTCAAAGGCCTCCGGTATGAACTGCTGCAGGAGGCACGGCTTTTGGGCGCAGCTCCTCCGTTTCGGGCCGACAACTTTGCAAGAAAAAACACCCGGAGCCTGGCCTGGCCTGACCGGGAACGGGAAATGGCACCGAGAAAAGGGCCCCAAGGAATGAATAACCGCGAGCAGCTTCCTCTCGGCCGCCGCTTTTGCAGAGTGGAGCCCCCTCCCTTCTGGGAAAAGCGGGTCCTTGTCCCTCTGGGCGTTCCCAGCCTCTGAAAGGTTCTGTCTTTAACCGCCCTGCCCCGAGTCTCGCAAACCAAGAGGCCACGGACGCCACAATCTACGGGCTGCAAGTTTCCTTTCCCCGGCCTTGCTCTGCTCCTCCGAACGAAAGGTCGTGGCTTCCTTTTCTGAGTCTATCTCTCTCTCTCTCTCTGTTGCTTCACCTCTCACTCTGCTGTTTCTCCATATCTCAAACAGGAGAGAAACGGAGCTCCTGTCTTGGTCCCCCTGAGGGATTATGAGGTTTTTTAAAGCCACCAAACCCTGCTGCCTGCAGGCTCCCGAGGGACAAACATGTCCAGGTTCTCAAAAATTCTCTGAGAAGCTGGACAGTCTTCACGCTTACGAGGAAAGGAGAGAGAGGGTGGCCTCAGCCTTGCACCAATACAACACCCAGCTCGGGGGATTGGGCCTCATCCCGTCCCCTATGGTGCCACGAGGCAGGAAAGGGGGAAAGGTGCCACAGTCGTGGAGGGGGGCCACCAGTGCCTGGCATCAGCTTTCAAAGACGGGCAGCCCAGGTGGCCAGGTGCACCGGAGGCAGCAGTCCCTGCCCACCCAGATGGGCAGTGGAGAAAAGTCAGCCGCCTTTGAGGCCTTCTGCGGCCACAGACGAAGAGGTCCCCCTCTCTCCTGCCTCCAGTGGGAGCAGCCGAGCGACCATTCTTTGCGGGATGGAAACGAAACACGCCACCCAAAGGACGCCCGCACGAGCGACCAACCCCTGGGCTGATTAAATGCTCCTCCAGGTGTTCCGGGGCAGAGTCTCCCTGGCAGGTTCAGGGGTCAGCAGGGGCACCTCTGAGGGTGGCAGCAGGGGGTGAGAGGCAAAGCCACCGTTCCTGCCAGACCAAGCGCAGCCTCAGCCGAGCGTGGGCACAGGCAGGTGAGCAAGGTGGGGGGGGAGAGAAGAGGAGGACAAGGCCTTGCACACCCACCTGGCCACGGTGACCACCAGCCCCAGCAGGGTGATGGCGGTCAGGATGTGCTGGACAGTGAGGACGTCCTCGTCGTAGACGGTGAGGGCGATGAGCACCGCCAGGATGGAGCCGGCAAAGAAGCCCACGTTCTTGGCCAGGAGGGTGAGCAGGGGGCTGGTGAAGGAGTTCATGTACTTGGAGGCGGGCTTGTAGCCCCGGCTCAGGCGGGCCTGGAGCTCATGGTCCAGCTCGTTGAAGTGGCGCAGGTAGAGGCGGCCGTAGAGGGACCAGCGGCGGGCCCCCAGGCTGCCGGGCTCCCGCTTGAGCACCTCCGTGTAGCTGAAGAAGGCGTAGAGCACCTGCCAGACCAGGATGAAGGGGCAGAGCAGCAGGTTGGCCAGCCCCAGCAGCAGCATGCTGCGCCCCAGCCTGCGGGCCAGCTCCAGGCGGGCGCTGGCCCGCTTGTACGGGGGCTGGAGGTTCCACTTGCCCTGGAAGAGGGAGCCGGGCCCCCAGAAGAAGAGCAGCTCCAGGTTGTACTTGAGGCCCTGCGTCAGGAAGACCACCTCGCCCAGCAGGGGCAGCCGGACGCGGAGGGGCAGCAGGGACTTGTTCACCATGGCCACCAGGTAGTTCTTGAAGCGCAGGATGCGGTGGTGGATGTCCAGCTCCGAGAGCTCCCGCTTGTGGACGCACATCTGCTGCTCCCGCTGCAGGACGATCAGCCGGGCCTGCACCTCCTGCCAGCTGCGGTTGCACAGCTCCTCCTGCCAAGGGGAGCGGCAGCCAGAGAGAGGAGGGGGGGAAAGGGGGTCTGAGGGATGGACCGGCATCTAGAGACACCTTCCCCCCACACACACACACACACACACTCCTTCTGGCCCTAACGCCCTGCGGGTTCCCCTCCCTTTCGGTCCCTGGGAAGGGCCAAGGCAACAAAGAGGAGGCTTCCAAGATGCTCCCAAAGGCAAGGCTCTTCACCACCATCCCTAGACGCACAGCCTGGCCTGTGTGCCCTTCTCCCCACATGGGACTCCCCAGAGCAAGCGTGGCTCCTTTAGAGCCCCCCCCAGAAGCCCCCAAGCTTCTCCCAGAGCCAGAGAATTGGAGGGCTGTCCTGGCGATTCCCACCCTCCAAAGATCAATCCACGCACCCTGCAGGATGCAAAAAACGTGTCATAGGAAACGCCCAGCCAGCAAAGCCACAAGACACTGCCAGAGGCCGTCGCTCTTGCCAGTGAGCCACAACACCCAGCTGAGTCCCCAAAAGGGTCGTTCTTTTAAAGAGAAGAGAAGCACCGGACGCCCCTCATGGCTAAAGCAGGGCCAGAAGCGAGCAGGAAAAAGGAGCAGGTCAGCCACGCAAAAGCAGCCTACGGAGCAGCCACCCACAGGCTCCAAGGCGTCCGGGGCAGCTCGGTGGCACCAATCCCACGCTCACTCACCGAAGGAATCTTGAGGGCCCTGGTGTAAAAGGCACGGATCTCCCAGTAACTCAGGAGGCTGCAAAGCACCTTCACCAGGCGGTACAACCAGAAGGTGGCAGCCATCACCAGCAGGAAGATGATCCAGCCGCTGGCCCGGATCCTGCGGGCGAGAAAGGAGGGGGGGGGGAACACAAGGCGTCAGGCCTGGCCACCAGTAGGGGTCAGCCCAGGACACTCTTGGAGTCTCCAGGGAACAAGGAAGGGGGCGGGCAGGCGGGCGGGAAGGAAGGAAGGAGGTGCCCATGCCAGGCCCGGGTGTCTTGGGTTACAGGTAAACACCACAGCCGTGGCCAAGGATTCGAGGCACCAGCACCTGCAGCGGCAGCTCCAGGAGAAGGTGAGCCACTGAAACGTGGCAAAGCCCACACGTGGCCTAAGGCAAGGCCACTGCTCCTCTCTGAAACATTCCCACTGCTTCCAATCTGTTTAACTTCACATCTTCTGTACGGCTAATATTCAGACGTAAAATTACCTCCAGTGAAGGAAACTGTCGAAAACCACAATTGTTCTGGAGGGGACAGTCCCAACCAAGGGAGGAAAGACTTTATTAACCTACGATGTTGTCCACAGTTTGAAAGACACCTAGTAACCTGCTAGGAGACAGGCTGGTGTGTGGCTTTGCAGCAACAACAACAGCAACAAAGAAGCGCCCTTGTCTATAAGGCCCACAGCCAGAAGCTGGCCAGGCCAAAGCGGCCCCCAAACTCACCCACGGTGGGGGAGACCCCTCCCACTGTTACTGCTTGTGAGAGCGTCCGGCCCAACCCAAGTGATCCAGGCACTCAGGGCATTGGGCGGGGGAGAGAAAACCCCCCTCCTGGGACCCTGGACCTCCAGCCGCCGATGACGGAAGAGGGGGGAGGCCGCGCCAAACAGACGCCCACAGGGGGGGGGGCGGGGGGGGGGGGAGAGGCTCATGGAGGGCTGGCTGGTGGGGCCCAACAAGCGGGAGGGGAGAGGGGCTGCCGCCTGCAGGGCAAATCTCCTGGCAGCCTCTGCCCAGCCCAGACCCTGGCAGTGGAGAGGGCAGCCAAGGGGAAAGAGGTGGCCGGGTTGCCAGCAGAAATCCCCTTTGTGGCCGGCTGGGTGCTCCCTGCACTGCTCTCTTTCACAAGGCACGGCCATGGCAAGGAAAAGGCCCCCAGCTGCCCGCTTCCTTCCCTCCTGCCGGAAGAGCTGCAGTCAGGAGAGACACACTGGGTGTGGGCATGTGTGTGTGTGTGTCTGTGCCCTCTCCTCTTCTGCCTCTGCTGCCGCCTTCCGACCCTCCCCTTCTGAGCTGGCTTCCCCAAGGCCAAAGGAGCCTCCCGACCATCCACGCCACTCCCTCCTCTCTGCACCTGTCTTTTAAAGCCACTCCCTCTGGAAAGCAGCCCCCACTTTCTAGGGCGCCCAGTGGCTCAGAAGCAACTCCCCTTCTCCCCCCCCAAAAGTCTGCCCAGGGAGGAAGACCAAGCTTTGCCCCTGAAAGGCCCATGGGGGGGTCCCGCCGGAGCTCTGCCAACACCGCGCTCACCTCTCCGCACACTGCGGCGTGGGCAAGATGGCGTCCGGCAGGGTCACTTTGCTCCTGTCAGGCCCCAGGCTGCCTCCCCCGGGCGAGGTGTGGTTGACCGGCCGGTTGGCAAAGAGAACGTCGTATTCCACGCAGCACAGCAGGAAGGTGGTGAACGCAACCACAAACAGGAACTGCCTGCGGGGGGGGGAGGGAGATGGGGGTCAGGGAGAGAGGAAGGCGCTCCAGGGGTGGGGTGGGGAGTCAGAAGGCACTCTCTTATGCCCATGCACTCAGCCAACCCTCCTCTGAAGGCCTGAGCAGGGCTGTCGAGAGATGGAGAGGCGAGGGGGGGGGGAAATCTCTCCTCCATCAGTCAGGAGGAAAAGGGGAACCCCCAGTGACCTCCTTCCCCCCCCACAGAGAGACACCTACAAACCGGCCATCAGAAGGTCCTGGGAGCGCCTCCCGAGGCCCAGGGCTGCTCCAGGACCCACCCGGCCCGTCTCCCGCTGGCCTTCAGCGAGTGAAAGGGGAGCCTATGATTTGCAGACAGCCGAGAAGACCGGGGGGGGGAACGGGGCTTGCCGGGACTTACACCAGCTCAAAGACATCCGAGAGCATCATGCAGGCAAAGCCATTCTTCTGGTGGAAATGGTAGACGTGGGGAGGCTGTCAAGGAAATGAGAGGAAACCTCTGGTCCACCCAGCCCAACCCCCCCCTCTTTGCAGGGAGCTGCCTTGCCGAGAGGGCCCGATGCAGCCTGTGAGCATTGGGGGGGCCTCCAAGGCCCCCAACACAAAGCACTCCCCCTTCTGCCCCCCTCTCGGCGTTGGGGGCTGTTCAGGCACAGAAACCCTAGCCTAGCAGAGGTGGGGGGGGGAGAGAAGAGGAGCCGCAGCAGCAAGGAATCCGGCCAAGATCCTTATGTTCTTCTGCCCTGGGCCACGGAGATTCTTATTCACACAATGCCATCTGGAAACCCTTCCAATGCTGACACCAGAGCCTATAACCCACAGCCTGGATGAAGGTCCACCAAATACAACCCCCCCCCCCGAGGCCCACCGGGGGTCCCTGAAGTGCAGTTTCTGGGGCTCAGGTTTCCCACAGAGGAGAATCCGGCAGAAGCACCAGTAGGCTGCTTCCTGACAGAAGCCCCAGATTCCTGAGTGGGAGGCAGCGGGACCCCACGCCAAGCCCACCAAAAAGGATATTTTGGTGAAAAAGTTATCCAGGTTCTTGATGTGATGCCATGAATCTGGGAAGGAAAAAAGCAGGATAGAGACGAACAGCTCTGGCTGCCACAACCCCTCCCCCCTGGCCCCCCCCAGCCGTCCCTCCCACCTGTAAGGGGCCCCAGTACCTTTCAGCCCCTCAGTGACGTGGATCAGCAGCTCCTCCTCATCCTCGTGGGGAGAGTCTTCCTCGTAGTCTGGCAGGCGGTGGTAGTCACCGTAGTGCTCCTGGCTCACAGCCATGGGGCGGTTGGATCACCCCGCTGCCCCCACACACACCCTGAAGCGCAAGGGAGGAAGAGGAAGTGCCCCCGGTGAGGGGAGCCCCTCCTGCCTGGCCGTCACAGGCCAGGGGAAAAAGCCCAGCCCGGACGCGTGGGGCCGTGGCGGGCAGCAGGTGCCCCCGAAAAGCTGCGCTTCAGGCACCAAGCGCCAACAGCCCATGGCTTCCATGTGTGCCCACCCAAGCCCCCCCCCAAATGCCATGGGGCTGTTCCTTGATGCCTGCGGCAGACACAGCCCTACCACCCCCACGCCTTTTCAACAGGCAGCAGGCCGGACCCTAACCCTCCCTGTTAGAGGAGACCCAAGAAAGCCCCCTTTGGAAGACTGGGAAGCACACTTCCAACATTACGTTTCTGTTTTGGGGAAACTGTGTGACACCCACCCACCACCCCCATGAGTCTCTGGGTGGAAAACCCAGGCCTGCCGAACTTGCCCAGACCTGCCCTTCCTCTATGCCCTGGCCCCTCGGGTGGTGGCGGTTGGCAGCACCCGAGTTCTGAGCGCCCAGTGTCTCCTGAAGGGACTGCGTGGGGCTGGATCCTGCCCAGCCCAGAAGTGACTCGCAGAACTACACCCCCTCTCACCATTCCCCCCCACACACCACCAGCCCACCCTTGCCCCGCAGGGAGGAGGGAGGAGACCCAGCCCCTCCTATGGGCCCCAGCCTGGCATTTCCTGCCCGTCAGCTGCCACCCGCTGCCCTTGAGTCACTTCCCTTCAGTGTCCTGGGCCAGGCAGGTGCCCAGGTGACATTCCGACCGGCCCAGCCCCATGGTTCAGAGGGCTGAAGGCCCCCACCCCTGGTCAGCCATGGGGATGAGAACTGGGGGAGAAGGGGCAACAAAGATGGAGAGGATCCAGCCGATCAAGCCAGGCAAGGGTTCCAGGGCAGGAGGGAGCAGAGCCCACGTGCTGGGCCGGCTAACACAGAGCACCTCCTTCACTCAGCCGTGGCTTCCTCCTCCTCCTCCTCCTCCTTGGGGGGGGAGCTGCCCTTATGCCACAAAGCAAAGACCAGGGTGGACCCTGAGCCCATGTCACTCTTCGGGCACTGGACAGAGAGAGGGGGGGAGCCCAACGCCTTCGCCTCCTGCCCTCGGGAAGCCCCACCAAGCCTTCGCCCACCACCCCAGGCCGCCAGAGGGGGGCTGCCACCCACGTCCAGGGCTTCTCCCTCCGGACAGGCCAGGCCAAAGGGCCCCCCCGAGGTCAACCGAGTCGGCCAAGGGCAAGAGGGAAAGAGCGACTGACCGTCTCCTGGGTGTCTTCAATGCCGAGGAAAGCAAAAAGCTCCGAGGGCCCGAGAGGTTTCCCCTCTATAAGGGGCGCCCGGAGCCTTGCAGGGTGGGGGGGCCTTGTCTTCTGCCCCCCAAGAGCCCCTGGGGGGGGCCTCCTCACTGCTCAGCACCTCAAAGGATCCTCCTGCCCTGCCCTGCCCGGGGCTGCTCTTGTTGTTGTTGTTGTTGTTGTTGTTGTGCTCCCAGCTGGGAAAGTCTTCAATGCCGAGGAAAGCAAAAAGCTCGGAGGGCCAGAGAGGTTTCCCCTTTATAAGGGGCGCCGGGAGCTGAGCCAGGAACCTCGTCCTCCCTGCCCTCGGAGAGCAGGGTGGGGGGGCCTTGTCTTCTGCTCCCCAAGAGCCCCTGGGGGGGGCCTCCTCACTGCTCAGCACCTCAAAGGATCCTCCTGCCCTGCCCTGCCCGGGGCTGCTCTTGTTGTTGTTGTTGTTGTTGTTGTGCTCCCAGCTGGGAAAGGCAGGCAGGCAGGCAGGCGGCCCCTCCCTCCCTCCCTCCCGGCATATCAAGAGGCCTGAGTCACAGGGAAGGGGGAAGGCTCGGCTCCCGGGAAGGGCTGCCAGGAGGGCCCCGGAGAGAAGAAGCCCTCGGCCGGCTGGAGGACTCACAGCGAGAACCCCCCTCCTGGCTGGGGGGGGCAGGCCATCCCTCCCCCTCCCCTCCACGTGGGAGCCCAGCT